ACTCCCCATCAAGAACAAAAGCAAGACCTAGGTCCCCGCCTTGGGGCAGACAGCCTCGGTGGGAGGGACGTGAGGAGCCACGTGAGCACCTTCCTTGGGGCCACCGAGCCCTCAGGCCACCCTTGGGGTGAACCCTGAAGGATCCATCCCCAACCTCAGGGGACTCAACCCCGGCCCAGCCCTTGTAAAATGAGGTAGATGGCAAGGTGCGGTGGCTCATGTCTGTAATCCCAGCACTTTGAGAAGCCGAAGTGGGAGGATCGCTTGAGCTCGGGAGTTCAAGACCAGCCTGGAAGACATAGCAAGACCCCATCTCTACAAAAAATAGAAAAATCAGCCGGGCGTGGTGGTGCACACCTGTAGTCCCAGCTACTAGGGAGGCCGAGGCAGGAGGATCATTTGAGCCCAGGACTTGGAGGCTGCAGTGAGCTGTCATGGTGCCACTGTGCTCCAGCCTGGGTGACAGAGCTAGAGAGTGGGGTGCAGAGATTCCTACTAAGCAGAGGGTCCGAGGGAGGAGCCCGGGACTGGGGAAGCCCTGACTGTGAGGGGGTCCAGGGGGCTGGGCTGCACAGAGGGTCCTGAGGAATAGCTGGAGTTTGCCACGCGAAGTGCAGTGTGCGTGTTCCTGGTAGGAGAAAGGCCTGGGAGCAAAAGAGCTGAGCATGTCTGGGTCTGAGACAGAGCGGGTCGGGCAGGGGATCCCATGCTGGTTCTCTGAGCCCCCCTGGCTGCTGTGGGGATGTGAGGGGAGGGGGAAGGGCGGAACATCAGGGGCGTGGGGAGGCCAGGTGGTGACAGGTCCTGCCCGGCCGGCCCCAGGCCTTTGCCAAGGAGACCTTGCGGACGCTCTGCCTGGCCTACAAGGAGGTGGACGAGGCCACGTACAAGAGGTGGCACCAGCGGCACCAGGAGGCCAGCGTCCTGCTGCAGAACCGGGCACAGGCCCTGCAGGAGCTGTACAATGAGATGGAGCAGAGCCTCGAGGTGGGCAGATGCATGGGAGGACCGGTGGGGGTCCCCAGGGTCCCCCACCCCAGCCAGGGAGCTGAGTCCCTGCTCAGTCTCTCCCCCAGCCCCCCCATTGCCATTCACCCCCACCAGCTGCTGGGAGCCACAGCCATTGAGGACAGACTCCAAGACGGTGTTCCCAACACCATCAAGTGTCTCAAGAAGGGGAACATCAAAATATGGGTGCTCACAGGGGACAAGCAAGGTGGGTCCCAGGGTGGCTCTGGACGGCCACTGAGTCACGGAAAGGGGCAAACAGGAGTGATTAAAAATTCCGTGATGCTCAGGGTGCCTCCCTGGGGCCTGAGGCTGTGTAGAGCGACCCCACAAGAGTTTCATTCTCACAACAACCCTGCAAGGTGAGGCCCTCATTACCCTGGTGGGACAGATGAGCCCAGTGGGGCGTAGAGAGCTTGAGCACTGCCGGAAACTGGGATTGGAACCTCGGGTTCTGTGACCCCACAGCCCTAAATCTCCTCTGCCATGGAATGCAAGGCCCCACCAATACATTCTCTGGGACTCCGCTGGGCATCTCGGAGAACATAGCAGGTGCCAGCAGGCCCGCATTAGAGCTTTTGTGGGGCCAAGGTATTTTTGCCTTCGTGTGCTCCCTGGTACACACACACACACACACACACACACACACAAATACTAACAATGCCATTTTCTGACTCTACAAAGACTAATGTCCAGGCTGAATTATATTCACTATTTTTTCCTTCTGATTTTAAAAGAAAATGAAGACATTTCTCTAAGTCTGAGGCACGATCCACCCAATAATCCTGGCCTCAGATCCCATCCCTCAGCAGCCCCCCAGGGGAGAGGGAGCAGCCCTTTTGCTTAGAGCTGCAGCCAAAGTCTCAGGGCTGGCTCTCATTGGCTGGCCTGGGTAACATGCTTCTTTCTGAGCCAATCGCCATGGCCAGGGGGTGGGGTGTGCTGCTGTGATTGGCCAGGCTGTGCAGGCACTGAGCCCAGCTGGTTTGCAGAGACAGCGGTGAACATCAGCTTTGCCTGCCAGCTGCTGTCGGAGAACATGCTCATCCTGGAGGAGGAGGAGATACTGTAAGAAGCC